CCATCAGCTCCCGCGTCTCACACACACACACGAGCGCTAGATTGAGCAACTTTCAGACCCTTTTAGCGGCTTTTTTCCATGGAATATTCATACTGACAAACCTAACGACTTTTTTGGATAAACCTTAGCTATGGTTCAGTTGGAAGATTTCGCCAGTTGCTGCCAAATTGAAGCAACACCTCCCCCTTTACCTTTTGGACGCGGCTCATGTTTATAACAGTAATCTTGTGGGGTAGACTTGTTTAAAATACCTGGTTTTAGCCAGGTTTCTGTCAAACAGAGCACATCTAGGCAATGATCAGTGATCATATCATTTACAAAAAGCCCTTTCGTTGATAGGGAACTGATATTCAATAAGCCAAGCTTTATAAATTGTTTCTCTGTATTATATACATTTTTTATTTGTTGAACATCAAGTAAATTGTTACTCTTAAATTGGTTTGGACGTTTTTTTTGTATTTTCTAGTTCGGGGAACAGACACAGTCTCTATAGTATGATATCTAGGTGAAAGAATCTCTATGTGCTGAGAATGAACTGATTTCTGTGATGTGAGGCGACTAGCAGACGGTCGGTTTAGCCAGTCTGTCTGCTTCCTGACCTGGGCCCCAGTTAGTCAAGTACAAACTCTAAGCCTATGTGCCATATTTCTAGACAGGAGAGCGGCACGACCCCAGGAGGGATAAAGACCATCTCTTTTCATCAGGTCAGGTTTAGCAACAGTAACGTGGAAAATCTAATTTTTATGTAGAAAAGGTATATATTGTACTCTTAATAAATGTACCATTTAGTCTTATATGAAACTGACCAACAACTTAAATGATAATTTCAAAATATCAATGAAAAAGTATAAATGAATGACTAATAAGCTTATAAGTGCTCCTCTGCTGCTATCTACAGGTTATAATGGTGATTTGGTGTATTTTTTAATTTTACATAAGTGTTTGTTCACCACAGTATATTTTGGTCTTCCCATTGAAAATAACATTCAAATTTAGGAGCTTTAAAGTGCTGGAAACAGTTGTGTGAAATGCTTGTCAGTCATTGAAAATTGCTTGAATTTCTCTCTCAAAAGGCTGTACAAACCTGAAATGAATAATGTAATAACATTCGACTATTTCTGCCACAACACCATGGTTAAAGTTAGCGTTAATGCTTCTGGTTTTCTACATCAGCGCCGTTTGATCTGTTTATAACCGATTTCTGTGCAGAATTTGAATGCTTCTCACTAGATCTCACAGCAATCTTTACTCATTCTGCGGCGAATTCAAACACTTCTTACTGGATCTCACAGCACTGTGCAGTAACAGTGTCGCGAAATTAACTTTGGTTCCCGAGTAAAGCTGTTCTGAGCTCGGACCAGTTTGTTTGCGTCGTGGTCTGAGCTGATAAACGGTCCGCGTTGCGCAGCTCAAACGAGTAGCGGGATTTTGTTTCATTTGCCGTTTGATGTTTCTCATATGCAACAGAAATTGCAACTCGAGTTGAAGAACGCGGTGGTCACGCCAGTGCGACTGCTCACAAAATTTACTCGCACCAGCAGAAAAAATGGTCGCAGTCTTGGAGCCCTGCTGTAATGGATTTAAGATAATAAACAGGTATGGTTTTAAAATGCATTTTTTTGAAGTAACATTTTATGTCCTCGTGTTTATGTGGTGAAAGGCTGTGCTGCATATTATGCCTTAAATATTCGTTTTGTCTGAAGTCTAGGCTCAAAGCTGTTTGTATGTATTTTCTATGCAGAATCTTTGTTTTTAAAGAGCTAAAATCAATTCAAATCAATATTTTGTATTTGTTTATGTATGTGGCAAGTAGCCATGTAATAATTTAGGGGTGTGAATCGACTCTGGTTTCACGATTCGATTACGATTATCATGTCAACGATTTGATTCGATATCACAATGCATCACGATTATATCAAATTTATTTTGTGCATCTTTATTAAATCATAAAAGCAGGCTACTTTTAAAAATTATTACTTTTTTATAATTTATAAATAATTACTTTTAAAAGGCTACTTATTAAACAATTAAGAACTTAACCAAATAAATATAACTTCAAAACATACAAGCAAATATAAAAAAAATTAAAGGGGGAAAAAGACAATTGCAACTGATAAACAAAAAGTACTTTCAGTATCTGAGATTGCTATAAATATCCAAAAGTTTACAGACAATCATAGTTGGGTTTTTCTTTTTTCCTCAGCATATTGCTTTTTGATTATTGCTGATGAGATCATAGACAGTGGCAGCTATACAAGGCTGCATTCACGCTAATGCACAGATCTATTTCGACGTATCGAGGTTTTGTCCTGTTCTGAAAACATAACTGACTGTTTACATGAATTTCGTATCATAGAAGTAGGGCTGACACTAACGATTATTTTGGGAATAGAGTAATCTGTCGATTGTTCTGACGATTAATAGAGTAATCAGATAATTATAGGGCCCTATGATTTCCACGATGTGGAAAACGCAGACAAAATCGCGAAATCCAGTCATAAAAATGGATTTTACTGTATATTTTAGTATGGATAAATCAAAAGTAGGTAAGTACACTTAAATCAAAACATGATATGGACTACAGGGCTCTACGTTTACTTTTCTTTTTAGGAGCGCTTGTGCTCCTAATTTAAAAAATTTAGGAGCACGGTCAAAAATTTAGGAGCACCTTCTAATTAGTAATCAAAAATTCTGATAAAAAATTAACCTTACCATTACGAGGTGATATTTGACTCCTTAAAGTGATTTATAGGGAATTTTGTTTTTACCTTTGTAATGGCATTTATCTAACTTTATTAAAAGCATGTCATCTTTTATGTCAAATTCAAAAATATATATTTATAAGCTTTTTAACATTTCTAATTAAAACAACAGAATAAAAACAAGTAGAATAAGAATAAGTTACCAATCAAATGAAATCAGTATTTAAGAAATAAATTTGTACTAGAGAGATGGCACAGAA